GTGTGCATATATCTGCTTGGGTGTCAGTTATGGTCTCTTCTGGGTATATTCCCAGTAGTGGTGTTGCGGGGTCCCTCTTTATTCTTATGCCGTCCTTAGAGAAGCTTACCATTTATCCAAAGGAGATCACGTTTCACCATCCTTGTTTCTTGGAGCACCCTGGTTGCCCTTCCTCCAAGGGACACCTGTTTGTTCTCCTGGCAGTCCATGAAATATTCTGTTCGCTTCTCCATCACCACAGATCAGAGGCATCGGTTCTTCTGTCTTCCTCATTCATTGTCCAACTTTCAGATACCTAAGAAGTCATTGAAAAGATCATGGCTTAGATCAGGTTTAGGGAGACACTTTGTTTTGATGAATCTCCTTCTGTGTGATTTACAGCCTTGGAAACCCAATGTCAGGTCAGCTGTGAGTCTAAACTGACTCAACAGCAGTGAAGTTTACTGAGACATACGATTACGTTGGTAAAGATTTTTCCAGTAGAAGGGAACTTCAGCATTCAGAGACGGGATATTGTGTTGCTGCCCCAGCATGCCAGTCCTCCTCAGAGCAGGTCACGGAAAATCTCTGGTTCCTAGTGCCCTCACCTTAAAAACCACAGGAATCTCTAATCTCTAAATGCTTATGCCACCATTTCTGCAGTATCTTACTCTCTTGTTGGGAAGGGAACCCCATTTTTGACTTGTGGTAATTGATAAACTAGTAGATGGTAAGTTACATTTTGGTAGTAATGCCATAGTCCTCACTGTGTATGGTTGGGGAAGACGGGGATGCGATTCCCACTGTCAGAAAGCCTCTGTTAAAATCTTTACATTGATTTCAAGGTTCCTTTAATTGGTTTTTGAAGAGGCATTGCAATGTAGTTTCACTTTTATTTAGCAGATTGTTAGAATTACAGTTACACTACACAGATAGCAGGAGAGTAGGATGAGTCAACTCAGGAGAAAGCTCACCACTTATTTTCCTTTCTGTGAGAAAGGGAAATATTGCTTCTGTGGTAGCAATAGTGGATACCATTGTAGCAGATTTTTGGTATTAGATAATGCTAATATTTTTAGACATTTTAAAACTGCTTGAAATGCTACTTTTGTAAAAATTACACTTTTAACTTTTTATTAATAAAAGCAGCTCTCAAAGTTGTTCATGTCATGAAAAATGCTTCTTATGTTGGTAGTTTATTATTTAACTATATAATGAATGATACATACCTTCAGGGGTTTTTTGATAGAATATAAGGTGGCTAAATTTGTTATTTAATATGAAATCATACCTTCCCCCTTAAAGTTACAGAGCTTTTGTACAGTTGAAACAGATGGAAGGAACCACAGTGCTGTTACTTATGTTAGATGACGCTCCATAATATAAAGGCTGGGAGGGGTCTGCCCCTAAACAATAGAATGGGGCCCCGTGGAGTTTTGTGTATTGCCTTCCATATATATATATATACACGCGCGCGCACACACACACCCCCACACACACACACCCACACACACACACTAGTACTTTGGTGATTTCTTGTATTTGTTTTTATTTTTTAATAAGTTTTTTCTCTTTTAAAAAGTGGGTTAATGTTATATTTCCATATTGTCTATTTAAAAGAAAGCACTACTAGCTACTGAAAAAAACACACTATTTTGTTTCCACAGAAACCTGCTAATATTTTAGTTATGGGTGAAGGTCCTGAGCGAGGAAGAGTAAAAATTGGTATGTTATATCTTTGATAAGTCACAGCGTAGCACTTTTAAAAACTTGTACAGGCAGCTTTCTCACTTCTAAATTTTGCTATAGTAACATGCATCTATCCATATAATTCCACATGATGAAAGCCATTTGTAAAACATACATATTGAAAGTAAAAAATGTTTCACACTTTTCAAAGGTGTCAGACAATCTTCAGAGATGGAACGTTCTAATTATAAAATAAGCCTTGCGAGGCTTTTTTTATAATCCACTCCCTTCATTAAAACTGCCTTGAGAGATGAATAGCCCCCCAAGTTGGGAGGCAGCCTCACCTTTAGTAACAGGGTGTGCAGTGCACTTACACTTTGGCCATCAGTTCTGTTCACTAAACCCAGATTAGATCAATCCCTGTTCCTCCATTGACTAGTCTAGATTAGCGATTAAAACTGTAGGAGGAAACCCCTCCAGCTTGGTACGCCCCCATCTTAAATGCTCATGAGACAGTCTTTCCTTTACCGCTTGGCTTGTTGGAAAAATAAAAGTAATGGACACTCTAGCATGTTGTCTAGTAGCTTTATTTCTTTGTATACCAGGGCACATGTTACCTATTTCTGGTCTGATTATTCAGAGGCTAGAACTCTGTTTATGCTTAATAGTTTGATTTCCACCCCCCATATAATTTCCAAGTTGTGTTTGTCACATTTAGCTTGTTTTATATGTGGGTAGAAGACATATTATTACTGAATTGTTATATTAATTTAAAGGGCAGCAGGATCATGGGAGGGTATAGCAAGTTCATGATAATTTTAGATTTCAAGATTGAATTTGTATGAGAAGTATCAGCTGATTTGTATACTTCACCAACCAAGAAAAATGTTGGATGCCCTTAATTCTTCCCTATTTTCCCTTAAAAATTCCCAGACTTTCCATTTTTAGCTAGATGCTCAAAAATATTTTTATGTCATACAAACCTTGCGCATTTTTCAGTAGTGAGAGTAGTTCATAGATGTCTGAGTCAGGCCCTGTCAGCACCTGCTGTAGTGTCCACAGGTGCCTGTAAGTCCTGATACATGCTTTGCAAGGATTCTGTCCAGTTTTTTTTATGGCATCACATTCAGATGCAAGCTCCTAACATGCAAAATAGAAAAAACCCAGCGAGATGTAGTTACAGACATGCTTTTTTGCTGTAGGTTTAGGAAAATTAAGATGTTAACATAATCTAATTTAAAATGATCGTTCTGTGTAAGCTATTGGTAGAGGGTTTGAGCGACAGTAATCTTTTAAAGCAGTCACATTTAAGAAGAAATACTTGTTCTTCTCTAACTCATTTTTTAATTCTCTACCAAATTTCTGAGCTTTGGGATTTCTTGTTCTGGATTGTTCTGGTTTTCCCCCACCAGCTTCCATAATAAAATGAATTAAGTGAGTGCCTACTTCATTAAAAATGTTCTGTAGGAGAGAATAGTGGAGCTAATCAAAGCTAGTGAAATCTTAAATTTTTTTTAATAGGTAGTGCAGGTAGTTCTTGTTTTCAGTGTATGGTGACATTACACTAATATTATAAGGGATAAAGAAATGAAAGACACAAATTTTATACTAAAGGCAGCATTGTAGGACAGCCATGTCCAAATAGCTGTGTTATATTGTAAATGGTCCCAAGTGTCATACATTCTCCCTGAGTTTCTTTATCCTCAGGCTCCTCATTTGAGAAAGGAAGTGATTGCATTTGATGATCTTCAAAGTCTTTTCCAGTTTGTGTGTGTGTGTGTTTTAAATTTAAGTTAGTGAAATTCAATCCCAATAAGTGGGAGTAAATAGTGGTCCTTAAGTACTTTCTAGTCCCCTTCTAATTGGCTCCAGCAAGCTCTTCATGCATGTGAAGGCACACAGTTGAGCATCTTGCATATCATCATTCCTGTTCTCAGCGCAAGAAATGGTAGTGCAGCTCAAACTCTCTCTCCACATGGGGAATGACAGAGGAGGTCCTCGTAAGGTTACCCTCAGCCTTGGGCTGCAGAGTTTGTCCATCACCCTCTTGGAGAGCTGGGGGACAATAAATGGTTCACATAGAATGATGCTTCAGTCTGCTTTCATAGTTAGATTTCCGAAAGGAATAAGAATGTTTGTTTTCCCCTAGAGTTGAGCACATTGCTTATATTTTACAAAATGGTAAAATTAGACTCTCGTTTGCATTTGGAAAAAAAAACTTAATAGGATTTCTTTTATTTCACAGCTGATATGGGCTTTGCCCGATTATTTAATTCACCTTTGAAGCCTTTAGCAGATTTGGATCCAGTAGTGGTAACATTCTGGTACCGAGCACCAGAACTGCTTCTTGGAGCAAGACATTATACCAAAGCTATTGGTGAGTAGATGTGTCCAGCTACTGGGAATGGACACACAGTTGGCTCTGCTGTTTTCAGCAGTACGTACTTCTTGATACTTTTTATTGAAGTAATACACAAAATTATAAGTGAATTTAACACACATTTCACAGCTCAGAAGTATCATTAACATTAGAGAGACAATTAGCCCAACCATCTTTCTTTTCTGTGTAAAAAATAGACATTAACAAAAATTCTTTTTAGTAAAAAATTAAAGTTTAACTGTTCTGAAGTAAAAACAGTAACATTTAAAAACTTGAAATTTCAGATGTTTTTAACTCCAAAAGAATATTAGCTTTTAAAAACCTTACTTAAAGTTAAAAGGGAGAAAATTCTTGGAGAACAAAATGTAGGCATTTAAAAACTTTTAAAATCCACTTTTCAAATTTTGATAAAAGAGTGTTCTGTTAAGTCTTATTAGTCATTGTGTGTAGCACTTATTTCCGGTCCCCAAGCATAATTCTTCTAGTTGTTTATACATAGTATAGATGGTCCTAAGCAATGCTCAGTGATCAACACCTTTCTTCATTACTGAATCCTTGTTCTCCCTCATCTCATTTCATTGAGTCTTTTATTGGGATTTTTCTTATATGTCCTTATTTTCTCCCTAATTTGTGCTTAGCTCTGGAGGATAAAATAAAATCCCCTCTTTATGGATAGCCACACCCCAGTGTTTTCTTTCTACTCTTGGTCAGCCTCCAAGCTTACTAGACCTCCTTTTTTTTTCTGGTTACTATGGGTTGCCTTGCTTTCTGGATTCCATGCCTTATTTTGCTATAACATATTCTTGAGTAAATTCTTTAGAAAGATTTATCTTAGAGGTAAAGTTTTCGTTTTCACCTTTCTGGAATAAATATACTTGAATATTTAGCTGGGTTTGAAATTCATGGTGCTCCATCTATATTCAGTGTTGCTGATGAGAAGCCTCATGCTCATCTTGTTCTCTTTTCTTGACAGATTTCCTGTTGTCATTGTTTTTTCTTTCTTAAAACAAGATTTTTCATCCTTGAGTTTCCCAGCATTATTCTGACCATATCGTTCAGTCTTTGGTTTATATTCTCGTAACTGTGGAACATTCCTTGCAGTAATCGTTTGACTCATTCCTCTATTTTCTACTTCTTTCTTTCGTAATTAAAGTTCTTTGATCAATTCTATGGAGCTCTGGTAGCCTAGTGGATAGAGTTCTTTGCCAGCTCAAAGGTGAATGGTTCAAATTCACCAGCTGCTCTGGAGGAAAAACATAAGCAGTCTTTTCCCATGCAGTTTACTGCCTCTGAAAGCCCATTGGGGGATCAGCTGTAAGATGGTTCTAACTTGACAGCAGTGAAAGGGAGTGATGATGTCAGATGTCAACCCTCTTGGACCGTTCCTTTGTACCACTTTTCCTGTGTTTTCTGTCAACGTCTTAATTCTTTCCAAGAACCTTCCTGTCTGTGGAGCTCTCTTGAGCTAATGAATTAGAATGGATTAGAAATTGTCCTGCAAACCCAAAGGCAGGCCATTTGAATCCACCTCCTTTCTTAGTTATCTAGTGCTGCTGTAATAGATATAAATTACTTTAAAAAACACATTTATTCTCTTATAGTAACACTCGTTTTTATGTGCTGTCAACTTGGAACTAACTCAGAACTGACCCTCCAGTGGGTTGTCAGAGGCAGTAAATTATATGGGAGGAGATTTGCCCATCTTTCTCCCTCCGATCAGCTGATGGATTCAAACAATGTGCCTTTGGATTGGCAGTGCAATTCCTTACTACAACACTGCTGGAGCTTATGTTTTAGAAACTAGAAGTACACAGTCAAGGTGCCAGCTCTAGTGGAAGGCCTTCTGTCTCTCAGTCCAGGAGGAAAGAAAGTCCTTGGTATCTGCAGGCCAGGCATTCCTTGGACATCTCCACATGTCCTGGCCTTCCCTGTTATCAGGAGCATTGGAACACTACCACAGGTACAAAAGGACAAATTCCACTGCTGATGTTTCTTACTTTGTAGTACTAAGGGATACCTCCCTCCTTCCCTCCCCATATTACCTTGTAGACCACACCCTGGGTCTTTACTGTTATGGAATTAAGGAACATTGCATTCCATTCTTAATCTTCCAACTTTTTGGTGTATCACATCATGAGAGATTGCTATATAATTTCCTCCTGTATTGTACATACATATATTTTGGGGGAATCACAGTTCAGTACATGATACCTTCTTGATCTCTCATGATTGCTTTTCTCATCACATGGTCCTTTTTTTTTAGTGCAAAGATAAGCTTCTCTGGTATCTATGAGAATGGCAGTAATAGTGACTTCTGTTGTGAGGAATTCTCCATGTTCCCAGAATAGTTTTCTCTATGTCTTCTTTCAGCCACACCATTTGTTTTATTCTTATTGCTCTCTCTCTTCATTTGTTCTCTTATGATTCTTGATTGTTTCCTCATGTGTAAGAGCAAGGTTATAGTGGCCAGTTGGGAATTTGGTGTGTGGAGACCACAGGGCAGATCCATAGACAGGAGGCTTGCAGACATTTCTAGAGAGCCACATTGCCTGGGGTGTTCAAGGCCTCCAGTGTGCTCAGTGCAGTCTCCAGGGTGCTCAGTGCAGTCTAGTCTGTAAGGGTGGAATTCTTTAAGGAAGGCTACAGCAGTTTTTTTATAGTAGTGGATGTGGGAAGGATGGTTAAAGGTTCGGAATATTGTGTGGCTGGTATATCCAAGTACAGAATGTTCCCTAGTTCTTCAGAGAAACTAGCTTCTCTCTCAGCACTAGTGATGTGACCATTTCTAAACTGTGTCACCTGTTTCCTATCTTCCAGAAATAGTTTTCCTACATCTCCTGCCTCAAGCATATCTTCATACAGTGTTCTTTTCACTGAAGTCTTAGTTAAAATCCTACTGTGTCAAAGATCTAAGGTAGTACCACTCTCCTTCATCACCCTTCCATGGTAGTCTTCTGTCACTGGGCAGGATCTTCCATCCCTTGAAATGAGTAAATCTTGCTTTTCTTACTCAGCTGTATGGTTTCAAATCATATTTTATTTTACAGAAAAGATAAAGGCAGACTAAAATAAGTCAGTTAGATACGGGAATTCTCTGTATTATCTGTGTGGCTTTTTCTGTAAATACAAAATTATTTCCAAATTTAAAAAATAATTTCAAAGAAAAAGTCATGGGGAAAAGTAAAAATAATTACAGGTAATCCTGTGGTCACACACACACACATGAGTGAATACAGTAAAGGGCTGGTCTTAGAAATAGCTAAAACAATGTTACTTTTGATCAGATAAATGATTTCCCTGTTTAAACTACTGTTAGTTAGCAGGACACCTGAAAATAAACAGATGATTTTTACTGGGTAAACTATAGGCTATTATTATCTTTTTCTCCTAAGAAACATATATTTTATTGTAGCCATTAATAGGAGTTACAGAACTTGCATTGTGCAAATAGCGCTTTCCATTCAGCGCTATTAGCCATAAAGCAGTTACAAGGTAGATATCCCCAACTTCAGATGATTATAATTTTAGAAAGAAAAGACTTTTCTTCCTATTTTTCTTTCAACTCCTTCTCATCAACATCTAAATTAATGAATAACTCTTTAGTCCAAACTTTAGTAATGGTGTAAATCCAGTGGCTCTGAGGGAGAAAGATGGGAAGTCTTCTGGGGACCAGTGTGCAGTCTCAGTAACCTACTTGACAGCCAACTGGACACTGGTTCTGAGTCAACCACAGTGAAACAATGGGTGAGAGACCACCTCCTCATCAGCCAAATATGTTTGGATAAACTCTTTAAAACTAGGAGAAACAAAAGTGTGATCTAAATTGTGAGTCTTACACAGAAGAGGTCTACAGTCAAGTTGAGAAGATGGCATAAGCAAGACCAGCCCTCTAAGTTCTGGTCAGAGCACTGTCACTTGGGTGTTTGGTGTGTTTTAGGCCAGGAAGTTAGTTTTATACTCATCTTCTCAAATTGAGAATATAGAATGAATCATTTCTTAGAGATTTTAAAGACCCTTCCACTCTAAAACTCCTGTAGTTTAAATAGGAATAATCTGTAAACCAAGCAGCTTTCTGCTGCTAGCTCAGAAGAGTTAGCACCAAGGCTGGATGGGATTCTAGAGACAGCACGAGGTAGGCTTGGGGCACTGAGGTCTATAACTCTCTAGGTACGTGCTTCTCCTAAGCAAGGAGGGCACAGAGGGAGCCCCCACAGGTACTAGTGGGGAGAACCAGCCTCAGTAGGGATGACCGTCCACCCCGTAGGTCCCCCTCCAGTTGGTTTGACTTGACCAGTTCAGTCTCAGCATATTTGTCATGTATCAAATTGATTCAGAAGTTACAGTGTGAGTAATAAGTTACTTTTTTGTCTTAGATTTGCCTCTACAAATCATATATAAAGCATTTAAATATTAATTTGAAAAATAATTGTAAAGGAGCAAAAACTTGTCACCGTTATCTACCACACCATCCATGCTTCCTGTCTTCTGTGCATATCGCCTGAATGTTCATTAAAGTGCTTGTCGGGTTCCTCACACCACCATTTAAGAGACTTCACTACCATTCTGGCTTCCCAGTCTTACCTTTGAACAGTCTCTTGGGGTGGTGTAAACTTGGCTGCTAATAAAAAAGTTATTGGTTCAAGTTCACCTGCAAGTGCCTCAAAAGAGAGGCATAAGCACCTCTTCCCCTAAAATCTTAACTTGTTGCCATGGGGTAGGAACCAACACCCAGCTGACCTTCTGTAGGGTTCCAAGGCTGTGAAATCTTGCTAGTGATCGCCTTTTTCCCTGGGAGCCATTTGGGGATTCTAACCACTAGAGAGGTGGGTAAATTATTTTAAACTGAAGAAAGTAAAAAGCAATGAGAGGGAAAAATCTAGTCTGAATGAATCAAATGTTTGTGCCCACTCTCACCACAAGCAAATGTTAAGTGTCAGCTTCATTTATTCGGCTGAACAGAACTCCAAGCTGAATTATTAAACTAGAGAGAAAAAAGTGTAAGTCCATCAACATTCTTCTCCCAGGGCCAAAGTTTAATTCCTTTTAAGAATTTTTTATTTTCATTTGATTGATTTGGCTAAGAGAAATGTCTGTATCTCAAATTATTAGCCCTCAAAGCAGCCTGCAAAGTTTTAATAAATCACCTAATCTGGAGAGTTTTTTACTTGTTTTCAACAAACCCATGTATTCAGGTTTTTGTCCTCAAGTATCAACATGCCCACTGAATGTGAGGCTTTGCTCTAAGTCACACACACACACAACTGCGAAAAGGAGAATTTACTCTTTCATCAAAATAGAAGCTTGCTGCTAGTATACCTGTTCTTTAAAATAATAACAAATCTACCACTTGTGGGGTTTCCCGTCTTCAGTTTGGTATATGTAGCATAGTACCTATTACTGTCTGCTTTGCTTAGTTAGCTCAGTCACTCCATAACCAGCATCAGCATTCTTCATTCTTAAGTGCCTGAGGTCTATATGATGTTTGTAATTTGGAGTCTTTTTTTTTTTTAAAGAAACTAATAATAGCATGTCAGTGAGTGGGAAAAAGTCTTTCAAACATTGATTCTAAAAAATATATATGAAGAGAGGCTTGTTTGTCTAGAATTGGAAAATATGCTGGAAATAATTACCCCATCAACAGATGGAAAGTTCATGATTAATGCAGATCAGAATTTTGAAGAAAGGATGATGAAATTGATGAAAGTGAATGATAATAAGAGAGATACAAATAAAAAACTTGCTGGAGAAGCTAACCAGGTTCAAGAAACCATTTCCAGACTGTATTGTAAAAACAATGCCGTTTTAAGGTTTGCTAGAGTGGCGTCCACTTCCGAAATGGCTTGCCTCCGGAAACTACAAACAGTGCTCAGGCCTTCGTTCATAGGGTCGCTATGAGTCGTCTGCGACTCAACGGCATCAAACAACAACAACAACAATCTATTCATTAGTTGTTGATTTCTTTTCTATATTTTACTTTCTTCTTTGGAACTTTTCATAAGTAACCAGAACAAATTGTTCAGTGTTTTTTGGACACAACAGTTTAAGATACTCTACCATTCTTTTCTGTGTTCCTCCTTGTTTGCTGTTTTGCTCTTAAGATTAAAATAGTCAAAAGTCAGGCTTATGTAAGTGTTAATCCCTCAACAAGAGAATGACCCTCAACAAGATGGATTGACGCAGTGAGGTGTGTCAGAGATTATGAGGATGGCATGGGATAGGACAGGCAGGATTCAGATCCATTGATCATAGGGTCACTGTGAGTCATAGTAAACTCAGCAGCACCTCACAATTCATGTAAAAAATACTTGGAAAAAGAATTCATTTAACCTGTGTTTTTTGATGAGACTTATCCACATGGTGGTGTTGACTAGAATTAGTTCTTTGATATGGAATAAAACTGATGTGCAGATGTGGTGCCTTATAAAAAAACCTATAGTGTGTAGTCTTTAAGCAAATAGATGATTAAATTGTTGCTTTGAAGTGGAAATAAAAATTTATGCTTATATATGTATATGACACATAATATGTATACCTAATATATATATACACACACACACAGACTCATACATATGTATATGTATATACATAATATTATGTGTATTTCCAATTTGAGAACTTAGAATTTCTCAGTTATTTACCAGTAACAATCATTTTCTATTTAAGTGGCAGTTACTAACATTCCCAAGCACCCAGTAGTCATAAAATGATGATATCGCCCACCCCCAGCCCGTAATTCCTTATATTTGCTGCAGGTACTGATTACAAACCACTTACTGTTTTCTATGGTACCCTGTTATACCTAGTCAAGGGAGATTTTAAAAAATAAGTCAGATTGCTTGGTTTTTACAAATAATTCCTCTGAGTTTATAAAGTAAACTGACAAAATCTGATGCTGTCATTGCATGAAGAAATACTTCGAAAGAAAATCTGTTAATGTAGAAATGCTGTTTCATAAGAATATTTGTCTTAGACATTGCCTTTTTATTATTGGAAAACTCCTTGTTAGTACTAACATGGAAGCATAATTCTCAGACTTTACAATCTGCCCGAAAAAGATACTTAATCACAAAATGTGCAGTGATGATATTTTGGTGAGGACAGCTAATTTCAAGGGATGTTGGGTTTCTGTTGGTTTATTCTGTGTTCAAATATGTGGTTGAGTGCTTGTGTGTGATTCTGTGTGGTCATGTTTGGAGCGTTGAGAAACTCACCAACAGTCTCAGCTCATAAATCTGATGTAGACATGGTGGGAGGAGGGTAGTGTAATAGAGAACAGAAATGCAGATGGGAATATATATTTGCAAATAATGTTCTGTGGCATTTGGTAATTATAATTGCATTAATAGGCATTAATGTGACTTATCAGGGAAAAGAAAGAGAAAGGAAAAACCAGTCCCCAACAGAACTTAAAAATGCTTTTTCTTTTCAAAAGAAACACTTTATTTTCCTCCTTTCCTTTTTTTTCCTTTTCTTTTTTTCTTTATTTTAAAGATATTTGGGCTATAGGGTGTATATTTGCAGAACTTCTAACGTCAGAACCAATATTTCACTGTCGACAAGAGGACATCAAAACTAGTAATCCTTATCACCATGACCAGCTGGACAGAATATTCAATGTAATGGGATTTCCTGCAGGTACACATTATGTTTGGTTTTGTTTTTATTTTGTTTTTAAATTCATTGTTGTTTGAGCAAAATTACCATCATTGAAAAGTTGAACAGTTTTAACTAATGAGAGGCTACTTTTACTGAGTTCTTTATTTTTATGACTTGCATTAATTAAAGGTCCATAGAAATAGTGAAATTTGTAGAATCCACATATTAGGCTTAAAATATTTATGGATTTTCTGAATTTGAGGATGTATGTGTTTTAAAGATAAGATGCCTTTTGTTTTTTCTTGCCAGTAAAAACTCCTAAGTGAGATTGAGTAACCGTAGAGTTTTTGTTTCCAGCAACACACGTAATACTGACATTGAGACACATCTGTGGACCATTATTTCTGTGTCTAGGGTACGATACACAGCTACATCTTGTAGAGTAATAGCATTTCAGCTCTATAACTCTTATGCAGAGAACATTCTTTTGTTTAGTAGGGCTGTCAGAATATATGCAAAATCTAGTTCTCTACAAGCCAGCGCACCTGCTCTAGGGTGGGTGGAAGTAGCTTACTACCTTCCCACACCTGAGACCCCTCCCTGGCCCATAGTTGTATGTACCCTAGAGAGAGCTTGTCAGGCACCAGAATGTCTGCTTCGGGGTCCAGAATGAGGAGAATTTATGTATGTATTTGAAATAATTTTGGCCAGTAATATAACTGTTAGATACTACTTTCTTATTGGAAATTATTTCTCAAATCACTGGAACCCAGAGGAGCTCTGGTAGATTAGTGTGTAGCATGTTGAGCTGCTAACTAAAAGGTCAACAGTTTAAATCCACCAGCTGCCTTGCAGGATAAAAATGGGCAGTCTCCTCCTATTAAAGATTTACAACTTGGAAAGCCCAGTGAAAGGACTCAGAACCAATTTTATAATAGTGAAGTTGTAACTTAGGACTTAAATTTCCTATTAAATGAGGGTGTTGACTATACCCTAGTTCAGAATAACTATACAGATCTATTTCCTTTACTAAACTAGCCAACACTTCTGGATAGACTGCTCTGTTGTGATGGGAATGTCCCTGCCAGCATCAGGTTCTGTAAAGTATACCGTATCTGTACAGCAGATAGAACTCCTGTGCTCATAGAGTTTATATTGTGCTGTTGTAAGTAGAATCTTTAAAGAGTAAAAATGGCTTAGGGAAATGAGAGGAATGGCCTTTCATTTAATTTCTGAATGTGTCTTCAGATAAGGGTCATGCCATGGTGGCTGATGAGAGAATGGGAATTGAAAGGGTCTTTGTAGGAGATGATTCTTAATGTGTGGCCCAAAAGCTCCATGCATATATGGGACCTAAGAAACCAGACAGCAGAGTTTAGATTTTATGTACTACAGGATGAGAATCCATAGTAAGTTCTTGATCACTGGTGACATGATTTATGTCACATTTTAGAAAAATTAGTCTGGCAGTGGGCTGTGAAAGCCTTTTACAGAAGTGAGCTGACTGGAGCCTGAGAGGATGGCTGCTCACACCACAGTATACAGATGCAAAGGGAGACTAAAGGATGAGGTGGGAGCATTTTCATAGGAGTGTGACTGAAGGAAAGTCAGATTACTTCAAAATAACTAGCTGGAGAGATTGACAAAATAGACAGAATAGAGCATGAAGATAGGAAAATTCCATGTAGACGTTTTGAAACCTTTGTTTTGTTTGTTGTTGTTACGTGCCCTGTTTGTTATTGTTATTTGCCCTGTTTGTTGTTGTTACGTGCCCTAATAGAGTCACCAGCACTTATAGCACAATTGTTTCATTTACTGTGCAATATGTTGTATCTGTGGAGGCCAGGCAGTCTTTTTACCAGTGAACTCAATAAAAGCCAATCTCTAAAAGATATCTACATGCTTACAGGTGCTGTTGAGCTACCTGTTCCAGTGTTGTGTACTTAGTGATGGAGGAATCAAGGGATGTATTTGAGGAGTCTTGATTCTGACAGAAGTCATTGAAGCACTGTGAATTTACCTATTTAGTAGCTGGAGTGGTTTTTGAAAATGTTATTGAAACTAGCCAAGACAGCAGCTGACTTCCACGTTACTCTAGTTACATTCTACCCTTTTCTACTTCAGACAGATGCCACTGCTTACCCTGGTTATCATTATAGCTAAATAAACGTCATAAAAGGGAAAGACAGGAGACCCTTATCATAAAAGAAGTTTGGCCTCCAGCTCCTGACTGACTAGATTGATTGTTGGTATAACCAAGGAATTTTGTTGGGAAATGGTGGCTTTTGAAATACTTATTACTTATTTTTCTGTAACGTATTCCCTCTACCTACAGAAATTGATGCAGTTTACAGTAAAGCATACAGAAAGTAGGCAGATAGGCTTAGAAAGATCAAGAGAGCGATCTGTAGCTGCACAGGGAAGACAGAATTGGATATATATAGTTTAAGCTAAGATGTTTACTGAAGCTGAGCCTTTTATGACATCTTGAGTTTCCATGAAGGTTTAAAAGTATAGAAAATGTCATGAAAAGGGAGGTAAAGTTATTAAATTTCTTGTAAAGAGGAACTCAGACAATATAAAAATATTTCATTATATTTCACAGATAAAGATTGGGAAGATATAAAAAAGATGCCTGAACATTCAACATTAATGAAAGATTTCAGAAGAAATACGTAAGTGTGAAAGAAAGTAGATTTTGTTATTTTTCTAGTGTTAAAATAGAATGCTTAATATCAGATTTTTCTAAAAAGTAAGTTTATTTATTTACTCTCCTAAATATTTTACTTTGTGATGGTCTTTTCCCCTTAGTATTATCTTTTAGAAACTAGACCTCAGTGTAAAAAAAATGTAACTGAGGAAACAGGAAATCTAAAGTGAACCATCCTTGCTAACCTACATTGTGTAGTAATTAAGCAAGTAATATTTATAATGAAAGATCAGGGAATTGGGGACAGGCAAGTTTATAGTCTTAAAACGACAGTATTTTAAACTCGGAATTAAAAAAAAAAGCGGAATTAAACTTTTGGCCCATATATTTTAAACAAGGCCATTATTATAAGATATAATAACTGTGGAAGAAGCTGTTAAGTAGATGCTTTAAGTGAAAGTCTCCTACCATTTTATCAGTGATGTCCATTCAAAAGTGAACACTGCAGGTATTGACTTAAATTAGAAACTGCCATGCTAATCGCCATTCTGATTATATATTTTCTGGCAGTTATGATCAAAATACTTGTCTTTGGGAGGACTTAGGCCAAAGTAAAATTAACCTCAAACCTAACAGAGATATGTCATAATATTTCTCTTGTAGGTATACCAACTGCAGCCTTATCAAGTATATGGAAAAACATAAAGTTAAGCCAGATAGTAAAGCATTCCACTTGGTAAGCATTCAGTCATAACACTAATAAAATATTGTGAGATTCCCTCCCAAAATAATGACTTGTCCAGCCTGAGGTTGTGAGTGGTCACAACACTCATGGGAAATGTGGGTATCTTGTGGGCACTGTGCTTTGTCCAGCTAGCGTTTGGCCACATGATATTTTCTGAGGGTAATAATCACAGCAAGACTGTTGAGTGTTTTCTCAGTTGCATTTCTTTTGTTCATCCATTTTAAATATTTCAGAAAATGGGTTTCTAGAATATATTTTGCATACTAGCTCTTTGTAAGATTGCTTACAAGAATTTTTTTACCTCCCAAGAAACACATTTTCATGGTAGCATTTTTCTGAGAGAATGTGAGAGATGGAATAATTATCATTATGTATTGGCACATGCTTTGTAACATATATAAAAAAACCACATACACTAGAAAGGAAGCTTGCGATAAGATTCTATTCACTTATGACCCTGGTGGCATAGTGGTTAAAAAATTCAGCTGTTGACCAGAAGGTTGGTAGTTCAAACCTACCGGCTGTTCCCCATTAGAAAGGCGAGGCAATGTACTTCTGTAGGGATGTGTAGCCCTTGAAACCTGAAGAACAGTTCTCTATCCCGAGAAGAACTTAGTGTTAGCTGCTTGATGGCATTTGACTTTTGGGCATTTGTTATGGCCAGCTAGTCTTTCTCAGTTTTGTGTTTTAAAAAATGTTTTATAATATATAAAAAGAGGATTTGAGAAGCGGATTGGTTTTGTTTGGCTTAATTTTCTTTTCTAAGTCCCAGTTTTAAAATGAGTCCATCAAATGCGAGCTCTTATCTTGAGGGGCTTATACTTTCCTTTGTCATACTAGATTGCTTGGCACACATTGTTTTTATCTCTCTTTGTTCTGTTTTCTTCATCTCCTTATTCTTATATTACATGGTACATTTGATCTTATATTTCTTAGCTGAATAGCAACTTTAAAAAAGCAATACATTATCCAAATAATGGCTTATTATGATAAACTTACAACAGGATCCAGATTGGAAGGTTAAGTTAGAAACTTCAAAACCATGGGCTTAATCATTCTGACAAAATAATGATAGTCATAGAAGAGTACAAGTCATGATTTAGGGGAATTACCCTTAATTTCCCTCAATTTCCTGCTGCTCATTATCATCTGAGGAGAGCTTACTGCCATTTCCCCCAAAATGTCAGAAGTTTGCCGAAGTG